ATAATTCTTGGCCTTTTTTTCCTTACATGAAGCATGATGATTGTACCTTCATCGAACAATCCCAATATTTGAGTGGCACCCGGATGTGTTGCATGCTGTATGGCCATGTCAAATCCATTAGTTGGCATATTTTTGGATCGGTTCATATATCTTATTTTTTATATTCCACAAAATGATACACGGGCACAAATATTCAGGGTGCATCATGCATTGGTTTCTTGAAGCGATCGCGCCAGCATCAGGAAACAACAAGAGAGCAAGCAGCTAGAGATCTAGAGGTAAGCAGTCTTGGGGAGAAAGCCACTTGGTCATGATAAATGTATTAGATGATGCTGTGTTTTCTGGAATCAAAGATTTATTTGTTTGTTAACTGGGTTTGTTGAGAAGGATTGCCCCACTTGACATTCTAATTGTATCAATCATGCTCAATTTGATAGACTGTCCTAACGAATAAGGAAGGTAAAAGAAGAAAACATTTTGTTCTAGATAGTAGTGCAGAATCTTAAATTGTCAAGTAGGCAAGTGATAAGAAGTTTTGTTGCATTGGTTGCATTTGTCATTTTTGGAATGCAGAAATTTAACTATCCTGCTGCTGGGGTCATAAGTTAACTCCTATAAAGTAAAAATCTTATCCTAGTTTTAGATGTAGAAAAGGATGACATTCATCATATGTGATAGGAAATTTGGTTGCGTTTGTCATTTTGGAATGCAGAAAATTTAACTATCCTGCTGGGGTCATAATTTTAATATTTCATGAGTTAACGCCTATAAAGTAAAGTCTTATCCTAGTTTTCCATGCAGAAAAGGATAACATTTGTCATATGTGAATTTAATTTATTGCATGCAAATAGAAAATGTGTAATCAAACTGTCTATCCTAAAGGTGGCAACGAACATGTGTTCTTTCTCAATATTTCTTTTAACACATTGCTATACGTTGTCGAGATGAGGATGGTTTGGCACTAGTACAAGAAGCAGTCTTCGTTTTATGTTATCTGCTTTCTAATGGTTTCGAGTCATTGTCTTGCTGGCCTGCGGATATGACTTTGATCATGTTATGTTATGAATTTGATGTGCTATCATCAGTCGGAATGCTTTGACCATTCCAAACAAGTCTTTGACAATATGGCCCCTGACGATGTTTCGTTATTAACAACTGATGTCTAATTTGAACTCACAAGATTGTGTATTAATGCTTTTAACTTTTGTTTGTGTGCGCATAACATTATGTTTTTGTACTTGAACAAAGGAGTGGTGCATATAACTCTGTCAAACAGTATAAACAAGAATCTTTGCAAGTGCAGATCAGGAGGTCTCCTGTTCTTGACACCGTCCTTATTTGAACTAAATGTTGGGTGTGGAAGAATCCATGTGGCTAATTCCAAACAGTTGGCAGTAAGACTATTGTTTTTGTCGCCCTCATCATTGTAGCCTTGATCGTTCCATGTTGGGCACTGGTTTAATGGAAATCTGTATAGTTTATGACTTGTTAGTATTGTGATGTCAAGTTTTTCTGTTTTTCTGTTCCCTAACCCCAAGTTGTGGGATCATTACAGGAACTGATGCGGCGCAAGGAAGAACTTGAGGCGTTGCTAATCGTGGATAGGACCTGACAGCATGAGGATTCATTGCCACGAGCAAAAATCTTGAGGTGCATTGCTCTTGCCTGTTGATGCATTTGGCTGATTAGGGGGCATCGCTATGGCAGTAGAATTGCATCATTAAGCGAACTTGCTCTTTCATATCCTTTTGATTCTTTAAAAAAAGGAAGCTTGTGATGTTTGACATATCAGAAATACTGTTTTCCTCATGTCATGTTTGATTCATGTCAGAGTATGTAGTAGTGCATTTCTCTACAGCCTACATAAAAATATTCAGAACATTCTTTCTTCTTTCATACGTATGTATAAAATATGTGATATGTTATATGTAATGCGTAAAAAAATCTATGTCATCAAATAACATTAGATCGGATTTATAATGTATATCTTTCGATGTCATGAAAAAGATCTTGTGTGACATGCAAAGACACCGTCATCCGGATTCGAATATCATAATGTTATCGATCTGTATTGCATTTTCTATGACATCGAAAGATATGCATGCCTCGTAATGAAAAAGATCATTGTTGTTGATGGTTTTGGGAGGTTGAAAGAAAAATCGTAATCTCTCGATTGCGTTTTTTTATGACATATCTCGTTTAGTCCCTGTTTATTTATAGACGAAAGTATAAGGTTTAGGATAAGTTATTAAGAGAGTTTTTTTTCATCAAACACATTATCCTTTAAAAAATTTTAGTAAAATATAATTTTTTATTAATCAATATTTATCATCAGAATTTAATTAGATTTATTATATATTTTATTCAATTATAAAGGGTTCGTAATCTAATAGGAGATTTGGATGGCCTTTCCGATCTGAGGATAGGACACTGGTAACGAGCTTCCTGTTTCCATTGGAGACTTGCTCTACTTCCGGAGGAAGTAGGAATAAGGTTAGTGTCAGGATCACGAAGACCTTTTGTTCGTGAGCAGCTCAGAAGACTCTTTAAGGTTGGAAAGAGGCTTGGAACCTACCTGTTTGAGGTGAGACCCGTCCTTTCTTCGACCTCGAGATCTGCTCGTGGCCCCATGCTAATGCTAATGCTAATGCTAATGCAGGTGATTCCGACCTTAGTTTCCGGGCACGTCTAGAAAGAATTAAGGTGATGATGACGACCACCTGATTCCCCGAGGCCTTGTCAAATCTAACGACAGCAGTTTGTATGAATTGTCCGTAGTCTTTATTATTTTTTGCTCCTTTTCCTTAAATATCAAGTGGTAATTAGCGGTTGACGTGTTTGACAAGGAAGACTTGGGACTGTTGACCAACAGGCTCCCGAGATTGTGAGCGGTTCCCCCCCCCGATCTGAAAGAAGATATTGTCGGCCAAATCAATGCGCTTGCTTCGGTGTTCCAGCCGCATGACAAGCGAGTTCTCGGAGCACTGAGCACTTCACATCTGGTCCGGCGACAATCCTCGTCTTCTTATGTCGTCGTCTCATTTACATGCCACAGTAAGCAATGCACCAGTCGTATAGACCTTGTTTTTTTTCCTTCTCTTCACTTCATTCATAATAATAATAATAATAATAATAATAAATGACGAGATGATTCCATTCCAGCAGTATTCATTCATATAGTTCTGGTGATCTTTCTTTTGATGATGACGATCGAAATCTTCATCAGAAAAGAAACTAAACACTCTACTCGATGCCTTCATTGTCCGAACCCAAAATTAAGCAAAAGAGAACCGAGGAGTCAAACGACCTCACCTGCAAAATTCCACCTCTCTATGTTATGCCGGTCGGTATCTTCGCCTAAAGGAGGCCTCACTTCAAATAAATTACTTCGTTTGCCATCTTCCTCGAAGCTATCTATCTCCGGCAGCGATCGACGGGGCTCGGATAGAGCTAACCAGCTGAAGAGGGCTCTGTGGAGAGAGAACCAGAAGGCGAAACGCTCTGCTGTGGAGGAGGACTGATGCATTGCTGCTGAAGCCGGACGCATGATGAACCTCCCACCGCACCCGGTGGACTCGCCATGGCTGAAGAAGCATTAGGCAGCTTTCCAGCGTGCAATCGATATTTCTGAAACAGCACGAGCAGAACGTCGGAAAACGCCATCTCACGACAAGGATTAGGATTAGGAAGCAGTAAGGTAAGTAATCCACGAGGAGGAGGAGGAGGAGGAACTGGGAAGCCACCTGCAGATGGCTTTTCACCTCATCGTTTGTGAGCCCCTCCACCTTCATCACTTCCCGTATCTGCTTGGGAGTAGCCACTGCATCAACGAACACGACACTCGGATCCAAGCCAAAGAATAGTAGTGTATTCGGGGAGTAAGTAGAACATGATGGATCGACGACACCAGCAAAGAGAAAAAGGGGGACAATTCTGCAAAAGCCACTCGCCTTGGGCACCGCCGAGCTGTTGGATGGCGACCGTGAACCGCCGATGCAGCTCCTGCGACCAACACCTCCTCGCCTTCCTCGACGGCTGATGCTGGGACTGGAAGCCGAGGCGGCCGCACACCGTCGCTGGAGCTGGAGACGACTCCGGTGCTCTGCCGACGCTTTTGGGGCCGCGACCGCAGCCACGGCGGTCGGGCAACGCGGCGGCAGGCTTCTTCTCCTCGGAGCTCGCAGAAACCGTCGACAGCGCTTCAAACGGTAAGAAAGCGCCGTCGCCGCCGGGGCTCTTGCATTCCAAGAACAAGTTCTCCTTCCCCTGCCTGCGTCCCTCCTGCCGCGACCAGAAGTGGAAGATCCATGTAAGCAAAAAAAATATCACGAAAAGTTCCTCCTTTTTTTTACCGCAGATCATCACCTCGTGATTCTCGTGACTGATGTCGTTCTCGCCGTAGTTATCGCTCCAGAGCTGGGCGGAGCTCATCCAGTTCATCTTGTCGTCTACTTTTACCTCTCCATCCTCCTCGACTCTACTCTCCACGGGTAACAACTCCTGGAGAACACGCCCGAAACACCCGCCGCCGCATCGCTCCGTCTCCTTCTTCAATCCGTCGATCACTGCGACCGGAATTCTCAGAACCGCAAGAAAACGAATCCAATGGAAAGAAAGGGAAAAGGAGGCATCCAACGGACCCTCGCCGAGGAGATGCATGCAGAGAGGGAGCTCGCGCTGGAAAGCTTCGATCTTGCGCTTCTCCTCCTCCAAGATCTTGATGGACTCCACCAGCCTAGCCGCCCTGCCGGCGCTCTCCGTCGCCGCATCCTTCACGAAGCCGCCGACGGTCCGCATGGCGCAGAGCTGCAACGCCAACCCCACCTCCGAGCCCATCGCCGCTGGCTCTATCATCCCTCCCGTCGTCGTCGTCTTTTTTTTTGAACGGAGGTGAAGAAAAGGGAGCGGAGAGGAATCGTCCGGTTCGAGGGAATCGCGGAAGAGGGGACAAACGAACGGGAGGATATCCACGAGGTCGAACTCGAGCGGTCGCGTAAGTCATCCGACGCCAACACGCGCTTCTCCATCCAACTCGCTTAGACTTGGAATCTTCGTGCCACCTTTTTTTTTATTTTTTTATTTTTTATTTATTTATATTTTTTATGTAATGATTTAATGACGATGTCAATTTATTTTAGACTGTATATATATATATATATATGATTTGTCAGATAAATAGTCAACGATTTTGACTTAATTAACTTATATATATTAGAAAAAGAAACATATGGATCCAAAGTAGAGGATCCTATTCTGTGAAAAATAATCACACTAAATACATGATTATATTACTTGTATGGATTCATATTTCCTTTTTTTTTTTTTTATTCTCGATAGAACCTAAGAGAGAGAGAGAGAGAGAGAGAGAGAGAGAGAGAGAGATAG